CTAGTCTTTTTCGTTCAGAACCACAGGCTTGATTTGATTGGTGGTTGTCGTAGAGGTTAAAGCAGTCCTCTGTAGAGTCGTCGCATCTGAGGACTGTTTTCTCCTCTTATAGATGCTGCTGACTTTCCTCCTGAAATAGTTTCCTGAGCAAACATACAGCACCGGGTTCAAGCAGCTATTCGAGAACGCCAAATATACAGAAAACTGGTTTCCGATATTCAGAAAATGAGCCCACTCCTTCTCATCCAAAACCTTGAGATCACAAAGCAAGTCGAGGAAGGTTAAGAAATGAAACGGACCCCAGCAGAAGAAGAAAAGAAAAGTGACGGCACACACTAGGATTGTAGCCTTCCGGTCATTTCCGTCTTCCCAATAACCGCTGTCTCGTCTACGCTTTAAAGCCCGTACGATATTAAAACAGCAGAACGTAATGACTAAAAACGGCAGAGCAAATCCAACAATGTTGAGCTGCAGTAGATGCGCGATTCTCCAATTCCCATTAGGATAATTCAACATGCATTCGACGGATTGGTGAGCCGGAATGTCAATCAGTTTTCTCATGGCAGCAGTAGGAGCGCCCATCCCCAGTCCAAACAACCAGAGGATTACGCAGATTAGCTTAGCATAGCGTTTACGCCGAAGCCATCGGGCTCTCATGGTCAATACGAGCGCTAGGTATCGGTCTACGTTCACCATGACTAGCATGTAAATACTCGTGTACATGTTGACCATGATGGACATGTTGACCACCTTGCACATGAATTCCCCATACAGCCACATGAAGTAATTAAGGATATTCATGGCCCAAAAAGGCAAGCAGACTAGTAAAATAAGGTCAGCTAGTGCCAGATTTCCCAGGTAGATCTCTGGGACGGACCATCGGCCTCTCTGGAGCAGGAATACCAGCAATACGAAGGAATTTCCCAGAATTCCCATCAAGCAGACGATGAATATGTATGGTGGGATAATGGAAAACACTAGTCGCCATTCTGTTGAGTTGAAGAAATCCAGATACGCTGGAGTGACCGATGCGTTTGGAGGATGAAGCGTCACAGATGATGTAAACTCTTCTGGTTGCATCCTAAAAAGGGAATATTGGAAATATTTAATCGTTTTAATATGCTCAAGTGAACTTTTGTTATTAGACTGTATTGTAAATAATCACTATAATAGTTATTTGCAATGATTTCCAAACCAATTAATAATATTTAAAGTTTCTAAGATGATTTAAGTTAGTGCAGCAGTCAACATATTAAAGATGAATCAAAGTAAAAAATAATCAATAGTGAAAAATCAGAAGACGCTGTAAAAATCATTCTAATGTTTTTTTGCTGTGATTTCCAAACCAATTAATAATGTTTAAAGTCCCCAAGGTATATTTAAAGTGCAAGTTTGACACCCAGTGGTTGAATTTGGTATTGCACGCCTGTCTTAAAACGCATTTCACTCGACTCCTACTCTGACAAGTCCACACAAACATAGGTTGCCAGATTGACATGAGTGTGCCTGACTAAAGAGCCTAAAGACTTATTTGAACTGTTTTCTAACTAAAAGCAATGGCATGCGATAGCAGACATAGGCTGCGTCCGAAATTGACTACTACTCAGTAGGTACTGCATTTGAATTTAAACGTACTACTCGGCCGTTAGAAAAGTACGCTCTATACAGTATGAATGTGAAAAGTATGAATGGAATTCGGACGTACTACATCCGCCATTTTGTCATGGTCACATGACCTACCTGCGTCAGTTGCGTCGCCTCACTTCCATTCATGAATTCTCTCACGGGGCATTAGCGCAGCGGGCATGGGCTGCGCACTTCAGAATCTCGCCGGAAGTAGTAAGACATCCGGGTACTTCTCGCCTACTGATTTTCGAATTATATGAATTCGGACTTACTACTCGGCTCGCATACTGATTTTGGCGTACTATATAGTATGGAAGTATGCAGTTTCGGACGCAGCCCACAGTTTCCATACTAAAAGGAGTTTTGTCCTAACCAACAGCTGAAATTTATACTTTAGAAATGGCTTCTGTTTCTCACAGGTAAACAACAACCACCTCAGGTACACCTCATGTGCTTTATTCAGTGTTAAATGCTAATAATGTGAATTTGTATGCCATTTATTGCCATACTACTGAAAGCAGCCGCAGATCTGGAAAACAAAATAAACCATTTGAAATTGACCCCAAGCCAACACATATCAGTGATTCAGCATGTACATTTAATAATGGTGAAGTGGTATAATATGTGTTAATTAGATTATAAACCTTAATATTTCATGAGTAAGTGCCCTATTCTGTGCTTCTGAATGGCTCTATTTAAATTTCTGTCGTGTTTTGTCTGGTGCAAAAAGCCTAATTGCTTATCACTGCAAATCTTGTCACGTAGCTTGTTATTAGGACACGGGGTTACAATGTAACCTGCTCACCTAATGTTTACGTTCGTAATATTGATATTATTTGCTAATTAATAAACACCTCATGTGGAACTCTGAATCTGCGTCTCATTTTGGAGTCTGCTACTGTCCACTGGTGGTCGCCTTTTTGGTCACGGACGCACATGCTTTGAGAGCCTTCATAACTGAATGAATGAAATGCATGGTTTTCCACCAAGGCAACCCGGGTGCTGAAATATTATTGGCTAAACTGGAATTGGGCAGGTTAAAAGAACTAAAAGAAAGACAGCCGTTCTGGCATGTGACGGACATTTTCGAAGCAGAATATCAGACTTCAGCATTGATTTTCAGATAAACAAGAATGTTCACTTAATATATTTGCAGATATTTCAGAAACATGGTATAGTATTTTATGCTTTAGTAGAGTCAAAAGTGCAATCAAGTGTATCCAGGGCTTTACATTAACACCCGCTAAATGCGAGTAGATTCAAGCTCTGGCGGGTTAGACAGACATCTTTACTAGCCACTTTGGCTGGTTGGAAATCATTTTGTAATTTTAGTTATGCTAAAAACAGGGTTTGACAATAAGCATGGCCTAATATTCGTGCAAATGTGATCTTAGATTGGAAAAGCAGCACGACTGACAAAAAACACTGTTCACGCGAGCAAAACAGTAAAAAATCTGGTAAATGCAGAACGAAAACATGATCACTTGATGTGATGCACGAGACTGTTAAAAAGCATGCGCACTCCCGTTTACTTGCGCAAAGCAACTGTGCCTAGAGGAAGCGCAACTGGTGTGATCGGTTCCCTTTGAAATAGACTGGACGAAGAGCGATGATCGTGCGCCCACAGTCCTGCTGCTTTCAAGAGCTCACAATTAAAAAACAAACATTATTTGTAAGCAGCAAGAGTCACTGCTTTCTTTTCAATTATTCTTTAAACAGATTATCAACAGGCGTATATTAACTGTGTGCGCGTGATCATCCTTTCATTTCAAGGTTTGTTTCACCTGCTTTCTTTTGCTCAGTTATTTTTGTTAATATGGTGTAATAATAATTTTTTACAATAACGTTGCTTTAATGGGAGATTACTCCCTGTTTATGTGTAGTTAAATGGTGGTCTGGGACTTTTAGCCAGGACAGATTTTGCATATTTTAAATACATGAATAATTCTTTTTTAAATGTAATGTTTTTTAAAAAAAAAAAAGGTTTTGTGGAATTAAAAAGTGCACCTATACAGCTATATTTTCCTTGTTTTGACACGTTAAGAATTGTGGCTAAGAAATACTTATTTGGTGAGGTCAGAGATAAATTTGGTAAATCCTGAATTTTGAGCCCTGAAAAGTCATGAAATAAAAACTGGTTGCATTGCGACAACCCATTTGCTCATGCACACTGAGCAAGCTCATACACAATGCAAACAAGAAGTGAAATGAATGAGAAGGCATGTGGACATAACGTCTAAACGACGTCTAAATCTAATAATTTTAGCATGTCAAAGTCAAATTTATGCATATAAAAGATATTTTCCCAACAAGGAAAGTGTGGCTAGTGAAAATGGCGAGTGTTTAGTAATGTTGGAGATCTACCAGCCACAGTGGCTGGTGATCAAAAAAGTTAATGTACAGCCCTGAGTGTATTAAAAAAAAAGTTTAAATAAATAAATGTAAAATGGTGAGAATACACTGTAACAAACCATTATAATACTTTTTATGCAATGATTTCCAAACCATTGAATAATATTTTTAAAACCTAAGATATTTTAAGTTAGCACATATTAAGTCGTTTAAAAAAAGTTAATCAAATTAAAAAAAAAAAAATTGTGAAAAGTTTTGGGCTAAAAGTAGAGCTACGCATCGATGAATTTGCTCTTCAGTGTTTGAACTCTCAGTAATGATTAAATCACACTGAACTGAGCTAAACTGAACTGAACTGAACTTAAACACTAAAAAACTAAACTACACTGTTCCAGTTACTATGACCATTTATGTGAGGCTGCTTTGACACAATCTACATTGTAAAAGCGCTATACAAATAAAGCTGAATTTAACTGAAAAAAGTGTCTGCTAAATTAATAAATGTAAATGTGTGTAGCGCAACAAATGTTGACATTTGTTGACTATCTTTAGCAATATACTTGCATATTCTCTGATGTTGTTTAATGGTCACTTGAACACTGATAATGTAGATAAAAATCCCCCAAAATCATACTTGTCAACGCTTCAGTTTTTCCTGGGATTCTCCTGAATTTTACAGTTCTATCATCCTGTGAAGGTATTTTCCTGTATTTCTCCCGTATTTTCAGTGTTTCTCTGAAGGGTGGCAAATAAACATGAAAGAGCCGAGCATCTGCAACCCATACCGCCGAACCACCAGGGGCTGCCCCTTGCTCTTAAATGTGAGCCTGTTCTGTGCTTTCGCTTTGTTTAGGCGAGAAAACACTTTGAAATAAAGGTAACACTTTACAATAAGGTTCATTAGTTGATGCATTTACTAACATGAGCTAATCACGAACAACACTTGTACAGCATCTATTAATCATAATTGAACATTTACTAATGCATTATTAACATCCAAGTCCATTCTTGTTAACATTAGTTAATGCACCATGAGTTAACATAAACTAACAATGAACTACTGTATATTCATTAACTAACGCTAACTAACATAAACAAATACAGTAGTTAATGTATTGTTCATTGTTTGTTCATGTTAATAAATGCATTAATTAACATTAACTAATGAACCTTATTGTAAAGTGTGACCGAAATAAATATGAAAACGGCGCGCTTCCCTTTCCTTTTCATTACAGGTGCTGTCTCCCCTTCATATGCAATCCTCAAAACTCAAATAGCAGTGCGTGACTGTCAGCAGACGCACTCCATAGTGATAAACAGACGCTGTTTCCCAAACAGGTTCTGTACTCGTGATTTGAAGTGGAGTAAAGTTCTGGGTTTTGGGTGTGTGTTTAAACAGACATATACACATAATTTATAATATAAAGATGTCGATTTTGGTCGTTTTTTTTTTTTTTTTGTTTGTTTCAAACACAACTAATCTGTCCTAAATGAGCATAAAAAGTTAGGAAAGCAGTTGAATGCCTTCATTATTTTGTTAGATGTGTGCATTTTTAAAGTGAACCCTCTGTTATTTAATGTAATCAAACGAAACAATCTAAATAAATCATTCATTCGTTGCTCTTTAAAGGTTCAGGACACCCCGGAGAACTTTTTAAAAAAAATATTAACAGATGTGTGTGTGTTGTGCATCAGTTAAGACAATGTTAGCACCTGTCAGCTTTAATTGTGGGGAAAACTGGATAATTTTGAGCTTTTGTCAGCAAATTTCAGCTTCCGGGTTTAAAATGATTTTTGGGGCGGATCAAAATCGGCGACGTAGCGCAGTACTGCAAGTGCAATGATGACGCATCAGTTTCTCATTATTATTCATAGCGGAGTTTTCTTATCCTATGAGAAGAGCCGGCTGCTTAATTATTCATGAGACCTGCCAGAGTCAAGCCCGAGCTGTGAGACACGTCACAGACCCACGGCAGTATTTAGCCGTTCATGAAGGCTCATATGCGTTTGTTTCCATGATCCACGGGGTTTGTTGCATGTTTTCCCCCGCGATCTTGTCAGGGCCGATCATACAGCAAAGCTGTGTGTGCTGCTAGCATTTT